TCGCAGCGTTACACACCCTACCTTTCACTGACGAGCTAATAGCCTGCCGTCTCCATCCATAGTTGTACCACTGGAAAGCCACACGGGCCTTACTGGTCCGTGAAGTAACCCCTTCAGTGATGTGACCACTAGAGGTGACAAAGCTACCAAGATAAGTTAACCGATGCACCACTTCCAGTGGCCGTTCGGAAATACCTAAAAGCGGAGGTGTGTAGGTGCAGTCCTGCAGCATTATTTTACACTTTGAAGGTGCAAAGCACATGCCAAAGCGTGCAGCGCTACGCAATCTGTGCAGTAGTATTTGCATAGCCAATGCGTCAGACACAAGAAGAGCAAGAGACACGGCTGAATGTCAGCGCTCGCCGCCATATCGGCTCAAGAAGATAGGCGGATGGATTATTTCAACACAGATGCGTCATCATCATCATCAGTATATCAGCCATTTGAACTGGTGTTTCGTTGCCATACAAGCACAACGACCTACGGCAAGTAGAAAAATAAGAGGGGGAGAAAGGGGGACATACCAGAAAACCTTAATGCTCTAAGCAAACATTTAAGATCAAAGACGCCTACACCTTGTGTTAACAACTTACCGTTAAAAATGCAGGCTACCGTGCAAAGATAAGGCGGCATCGGCGAGACAGCTTCCTTACGGCTTTCACTGCCACGCATCACAATCAGCCATTACCCCGCAGATAACTCAGCTCGAAACAAACTTTAAACAGGCAATCCCACTAGGAGACGACAGCAGACACGCCACTGATGCCGAATGTGAGACATCTCCTGTAAAGTCTCGGGCCAAGCACAAGGCGGGTCACGTGGACTCCAATACGGAAGACGAGACGGACCAACGGCACCCAGTTTGGTCGTCAGTGACTTCATTTCCTGCTGCCAAGTCAACTTCTGTCCACGTCGAGCCTTGTGTCACCCTACATCTGGCAGACTAAACAAGACACTCCTCCTAGGTAAGCGGTGACCAGTCATATGTAGCACGTGCCCAAGCCAACGCAACTTATTCAGTGCTATCTGTCGTTCTAAGGAATTAGCTTGAGTATCACTGCCTAGCACTCGCCTACGCACATCGTAACGGGCACGTTGGTGCTACGCGACACTAGCAATGCTCTGCAGACAGTGATGATCCAAGACTTGAAGGTGCCTCAGATCTTCAGACCGAAGGGGCCAATTCTCACTCCCATAGAGTAGGATGGCTCTTATTGTGATCTTGTAAACGGACTTTCATGCGGAGGAAAACTCCTTTTGTCACCAAAAATGCGCAGATTCAAAAACGAAGTTCTGGATTTTGCAATACGTGAAATGACTTCGGTTGCTATGCACCCATCATTGGTGATACAGCTGCCAGGGTAAGTGAATCGATCAATCACCTCGAGTTTCTCGCTATTTAGAGTCAAAGGATCGTCAAGTGGCTGTTGGTCCTGCAGCAGCACTTTGAAGGTGCGATGTGCATGCCAAATAATGGGATCAATTTTAAAAGGCTACTCAGAATTGGTTGATCCGCTCCAAAATCGATAAACAGCAAGACGATATCGTCCGCATAATCAAGATCAACTAATCTTTCACCATGCAGCAACTCAGCACCTGCATCGTGAAATTCTCCAAGGGAACACTCCATGATGGAGTCCAAGACGAAATCGAACAAAAAGCGTGAAATTGGACAACCCTGACGAACGCCACTTGTTGTCGGAAAGGCACTCGACAAGTCGCTGTAGACCATGACGCGACCTGTAGTGTTCGAGTACGGAACACATAAAATGTTCACATATTTCATGGGAACACCTTTCGGCGCAAGTACTTCGAACAGAATGGATCGATGGATAGAATTGGAAGCGCTCTTGAAATCGAGAAACACAGCTATTGTCTGTCTGCGGTATTATGCATGGCGCTGTTCTAGCACCTGCTGCAGTAAATATGTGGTCTATATAGCCACGCCCTGGGCGGAAATCTGCCTGCTCTTCTCGAATTCGAAATCCCCGTTCCGCAGTGAGGCAAGTTATTTTGTCACCACTGGATTTACGCTAATATCCCGGTGGTTAGAACAGTCTGTGCGACTACCCTTCTTGTATATTGCCACTATTATCGATTTACTCCAGTTAGCCGGGACACGCTCTTCGTTCCAAATAAGTTCGAATAGGGTGGTCAGTGCTTTCCAGAGGACCTCACCGCCACGCTTAAATAGTGCATGTGGGAGGGAATCCGGATCAGCGGCACGAAAACGATTGAGGACTGTGATCGTGTTTCGGAACTCAGCCTCCGATGGAGCCTGTAAACCAGCGATGTCCTAAGCTCGGCCCGCGGCCTCATTATGTAATAATAAATTTTAAGCTCGGATTTTTTCTTACAGATGATATTGTATAGATTAATATCGTCTGTGCAAAGAAATCCAAATATTATATACATTGCCGGTACGTAGCCTAGAAGTAATGAACTTGTCTTGCGGCGCGGGGCAGGGCGACCCTCACAGTATCCTTAGCCCACGTGCGACCGGTGGTGGTTGCGCGGCAGCGAAACGTCGGTACTGCGTACCGGCGTACTGCTGATGCCTATATTATATAGATTACAAAAAACTAAGGATGTTATGAGTACAAAATTCAGCGGCGTCAGATGCTGGCAAAAGTCAATGATATACTGTATATATTTAACTACCTATAAGAAGCCAATCTACTGCCTCTACTAAAGAGGTCTTAACTGAAGCAAAAAATAATGATCACAAGTTCTCAGTTTCACCCTTCACATTAGAAACTTGCAACAACAAAGTTATGACCTGCGTAATTTTTGTTATTCTCTTAATGTCAGACTGAATATGGCCCGAGATATTTGACCGTACAAAATGTGGTCCTCCTTGCGGAAAGTTTGGACACTCTTGCTCTAAACTAACCGTCCATGGCTCAAGCTGCATCACCTGAGAAGGAAGAGGTGAGAAAATGGGGGGTCAACTGAACAGAACGAATCATATGAAGCTTTTTATTGTGAACCAGAGCACCCGCACTGTCTCTGATTGTCTTACTGACGCATAGTTTCATGGGACCAGTGGTGCGAATCAGGTGGAAGAGTTTGCGATAGTTCTCCTGTGCTCCTGCCTCCTACATTTCTTGAGCCCTACTGGTCCATCATGCCTCCTTGTCAGCGCGCAGGCTCCGTTTTAGTTCGCGTCTAATAGTCCGCCTGGTCACATTGTTCTCAGATTCAGACGCGAGGTTTCCTCTGGATTCCAACAGGTTCACCGACCTCTGGGATATCCAGTGACTGGTGCGTTGACCACTGATAGTGCCACAAGCATGGCGGCCGAGATGCTATTCCACTGAAGCTCAGGGTCATTAGGACAAGAGAAGGAAAGTTCGGTACGCAGTGCAGCGTGGTAGGCTTGCTTGACCGAGGGTGGGATGATTTTTCAGTTGTAAACGTGGGACACGCTTGATGCGCCTCCCGGTAAAGTCCATGGAAAAGCGACAGCGTACCAAGGCATGATCAGAATCGACGCAGGTATTCCAGTATGAGGGGAAATCCAGGAAGGAACCATGCCCCTCGTAACTTATGCCAATGTGGTCAATTGGGGTCCATCGCTGGTCAGCTACAGGAGGACGCTAAGTGGCACTTCGGTGCCCACTGTGTCTAAAAGCAGCCCTAATAAGAGACAGCTGGTGCTTTGCACATAGTTGCAAAAGACGCTCGCCGTTGTCCGTGCGGTCGGAGTTAAGTCCATAATTACCACATAGCTGCTTCTAAAGAGCCCAGGCGACTTACTTGTGCATTCACATCCTTTGCCAACACCATGATATATGAACTGGTAGCACTGCGTAATAGCGTGCTCAGTTTGTGGTAGAATGTGTATTTGGCAGCATCAGAGCTGCAGTCAGTGGGAGCATAAGAGGGAACTACAAACAAACAGCGTCTTGTATTACGTCGTGAATCAACCTTTGTCGATGTCGTCAAACGGGCTGCACACAAACGGCTATTCCCCGGAATCCAGTAGACCAACGATGACTCAGTTTTCGAGCCCAGTACGATACCTATCCCAGCTTGATCAGATACTGCTGCATCAGTGATTCCGAATGAGTGCAACCAATAGCGAGAGGACAAGCCGAGTGCAGTTAATCCAACAATCCCATTGGGGTTATTGATCCTGGTTTTGGATGCACGACGCGGGTCAACACCCAGTGTGTCTGACGTGCGTGCGAGTGCAGCCCGTTGATCTATTTGTCTTAAAAATGCGAACGTTGAACGCCGCCAAGAAAACGGAGGGACGTGGCCTTATAAGGGACAGCTGCCGATAAGCGTCCAGTGGGTAGTGCGGGAAGGTAGCTGCAGATGGTTCGACTCCAGTGATATTACGGCTGTTGCTAATTAAGCCTAAAGGTAGGTTATTAATGGGGGTTAGGAAAGGAGTAAGAGAAAAAGGTGGAAAAGAAGAGAGGCGCTAGTAGTAACATGTTTTCGCTTATCCGCCCAGCTGTATGCAGCAGATAAGGTAACCCTTAACAAGCTGCGTGACGGCCGATGCAGGATGTAGTTGAATTTTGAGGAAATTGTCATGGTTGTATGTGAGCTGAGATACTGTCAGAACGCCAAAGCCCAGACCGAAGCACGATTAGGGTCCTCATCCAAAGCCTTTGGCTCAAAAGCTTGTCCGCAAGGCAGCGGAGAAGTGGCAATGATTTAGTTTTACAGAAATGGACGCCATCCCATTTCAAACCCTTAACCTGGAGGACCAGGAGATTGAATGTGTCTGAACCCTAACTATTGACTAACCTGGTAGGAGTGGCTCTCAAGAGGCCCAGGGGCATCACCCAGTATAACTCAACGGATCGATGAGGTACGCAAACCGTCGTCGCACCACGTTAAGGTCGAGTCTCATTGCGACGGACCTCAGAGACAATGAAGTAGTTGGTACATAATTCAACGATGCTTCATTACGTGTTTAAAACCAACACGGTAGACAGATGATATGTAGTGAGCAACAATATCGATAGCAAGAAAAAACTCACCACGAGTAAATTAGGCTGTGACGTGTGTTGAATGACACATTCCAATAGATCGAGACAACTGAAACGAAGAAAGATGCTTTACAAGAACAAACAAGATCGATCGAAATATTTTTTTAATTGGAGCAATGATAAAAACATCTAAATGTCCCAGTAACATCATGAAAATGGAGAGCACTCTCTCGGTGAAGATGTCTGGAACTATTTGACCATAATACCATATATTTTGATAGACAGTCTTAAGCGTACTGTGAGATTAGCATACTCACCGCATCTTCGTTTCGCACAGAGCGCGAGCGCGTTCAGCTGCCATACGTTTGGGCATGACGATTCTATTCGCTCGAAAGGCAGCAGCCAAAGCCTCGTCGTTGGCGAACATTTCGGCGTCGTCCATCGTTTGGTGGGGTGATCCGAACTCCTCTTCGGAAGAGGCATCCGACGCAGGAGCTTGTTTAATCTCCAAGGTATCTTCGTCAGACTCAGTCTCGTCGGCGCTGTGTTGATTGTTATCTCCATCAGGCTCCGAATCTGAAACCGTATTTGTTATCCGTTCTATAGTTAACTGTGGAAACCAAGTGATATTACCCAAAAAAGAACAGTTACCCAGGTCTAAATAAAATATCGTTGCAATATTGCAACAAAAAACGGCAACTCTGGATGGCAAGATAACAGCTCAAGTTACAGGACGAATCGTGAAATCGAAATTCGCTCAAATAGATAAGTGAAAATGAATGAAGAAAGACCAGTGGAAAGAAATTCAAGGAAAAGTAAAGCAGTAATAGCCAGAACAGTCTAAAAAATATTGGCGACAGTAGGCCGCAGTGCGTGCGTGGCTAGATTTGGTATCTAGTTCTCACAGTGAATGGTTGTGCGTTGTTTGCGCGCCGGTGGTGTGGATGGAAGAAGAGGAGAGGATGCCAACTGATGACTTGATCAAAAGGAGTGAATGTCCTTAGTTCGAAGTTGGCCTCGGTTGAGGCCAGAGAGATCATAAATACCTTTGGCTGGATACACTTGTGGACATGGCCAGGAAGCGACCTCAATGGAGTTTGTGCTTCTTTGTCCCTCCCCCAATCCCGATCTCATTCCTGACATATAATATAACCTTTTGCGACACAATAGCCGGTCGCTAGCTTACCGGAACGATGTCCATCCGTTACTGGTAGCTTAGCTGGCGTGCTCTTTTTTCGACTCTCATCTACTGCAGTACAACAGCCGAGGTGTTTCTCACCTATAGCTAACATGTATAATGATGATGATGACAGGATGGTTTCGACTCAATATTCAGCGCAATGATTAGTACATTCTCTTGGTCCATCATATCACACAAATGATCGACGTGCAAGATAGAAACATAGTGTACGAGTTATCGAGGAAGAAGTTCCGAGTGTACAAACGATGCATACACTACTGAATTGCGTGAAGTGAAGCGACATTTGTAGAGCAATCATCGGGCGAAGTTACCTAAAGGATGGGCAGGCAAGAAAAAAACATGGAATTCTGACAGAATTTAACGGCATATATGGTAGAGTATATATATATATATATATATATATATATTAAACACTTTACCAATTACAATACAATTAGCTGAGTGCCACAACACATAAGGGTAAAAATAGTGTGAAAGGAAAAACAACAGTTAGAATAGAAGAGTCTCACAACAAGTGCGCCATTGTGTCACGGGCTTTGGCCATATCCTCTAGCGTTTGCAATCAGATGTGCTCGGCGTGCTTTGGTCCCCAACTCGGGAGTCGGGAATGAAGAACAGCCCGCTTCGAGGTATGCGCCTTGACGCATTAGATCCAAGTTTTACACTGGCCTCCTTGTCGTCGCTTCTATCCCACACATTCGCTCACAAATAGGACACGTCATGACAGCCTCTGGGTAGGCATGTGGAGCACATGTCCACGCCACCGAAAACTCCACAGTGAAATGATGCTACCAATCGGTTAGCGGAGTTTGTCAGGTTTAAAGACTCGCCGACGGACTTCCTCATTACTGATGTAATGCTGCCATCGATCACCAGCAGTGCTTCGTTGGCAGTGGTGATCGAAGACAGATAGCCGCTGAACATCGCTTTTGCGAATGGGCTAAGTCTCACAGCCGTAGAGCAGAATCGCTCGTACCGTAGTATTGTAGGCTCGTACCATCAGAGTGAGGATGAGGTCATGACGAAGCCACAGGTGACGAAGGTTAGCGAAAGCGACTCTAGCCTTGGAGACATGCAGGGAGATCTCATATGTCAAACCGCCAATACTAAGACAACTCCCAAGATAAATGAATTTGTCGACCACTTCCAGTGGATGCCCCGAAAGGATGAAAGGACACGCACTTGGCCAGTCCTGTAATAGGACCTTACATTTAGAAGGGGCAAAAGTCAACCCAAATTGGGAGGCGGACATCTCCAGTCTGGGCAGCACATGCTAGACGGCTTGGGAGGACTCGCAAATCACAGCGATGTCATCGGCGGTCACCAGGGCGCAGTTCAACACCGCAGAACTCAGCTTTTCCGGTTAGTATCCAGGATCTCGTCCATGGCGATGTTGAACAAGGAGAGGCTGGGCAATTCTGTCTAACCCCGCTAGTGATCCTGAAAGGGGGCGAAATGTCTCCGTATACTCGCAAGCGGCCCGAAGTTTGATGGTAGAAGGGCAATTTTATAGGTAGTTCGTCGCGGTCCCCTCTCAGTCAGAAAGTTCCGACACAACTGGAGAAGCACCAGACAGCTGTTACAACCTTTTGGGTCTCGTCGGTGGTGCGCCTTTCTCGGACCGCTGCCGCGTTCCGACCCCATGATTTCGGGCGGCCAGCAGCTTGTGCCACTAGGTTAAAAGGACAGTGATTGGCTTTCGAAAGGCATTGATATCATCGCAGCTCGGTCGTTAACACAGGCAATCGCAAAGTGGCCAAGTTCAGTTGAGTCACTTCAGTGATTCGAATCGAAAAACAAGGGACAGAAAGGACGAATCTCAAAGCTAACGAAACCGATAGTTCATCTTTCAAACAAGCATGACCCCAATAAGCAAGACGATTTCGATTCACCTAGTAAGAAATTGCGGCTCCAGTTGGAACTAGCTTTTACATCCAATCGCTCATAAAGCTCTACATCTGAAAAAACAACTTTTCATCCAACAAAAAGTGCTCACCGTCCAACGGATCCGCATCGAACGTTATCAGCTTATCCTCGGTGATTTCCGATTCATGTGTCAAATCAACGGGTTCTTCCAACCTCGTTCTCATGACATCGAGAATGAGATTTAAGGAAACAGGATCCACGGCACCAACAATAATCATTTGTTCGAAGGCGGCGCGAGCACAAGAACGGAGTAAGTTGGAAGCGAGGGCCATAAATCCAAGTATAACGTCAGACAGAACAGCAGTCCATGGAGGCCCATCAGGTGAATCGGACGGTTTTTGGGTGCGACTCTTCTCCAAAGCTTCGGATAAATCATCCAAGAGTCCCATTATTGAAGACGAATCTGGGGCACAAAAAAATAAAATTAAAACGAATATCAGTGAAAAGCAAGCGGGGCTGGCCCGCTGCCTTTTCCAGTCTTACTGTTGTGGAGCGTATACAAGTAAACTGCAGTATTGTTAAATAAATACCGTCACTCAAGACATGGGGAAAGCGGCAAAAAATAAATGGAGTGACAGTGGTAACCGAACTGCGGTAACAATGGCTCCAGAAAATTGGGATAAAGAAAGAATTTACGATAGTGCTTATGCAACGGATTGAAAAAGTGCTACAGTCCTCTTCCAAAAGAACTCAGTTTGAGATTTCGTGCGACCCTAGTCGGGAAATGTATAGAAATGACGACCGTGGAAGAACCTTGGTATGGAAGAACAAGCAGTTAAAAACGAATCTACAAGTCTAGATGAAGTGGTAGGCAGCGATGGTTCGCACACAAAGCTAAACAATTGGGTTGCAGGTATGTCGCCATTAATCGAGGCAACACATTTAGCGCGTGAAAGAAAATGGCTTGTTAGTACTACCGAGCGTCAGGTAAAAGCAAAGACGGATGCCAGTCTGTAACGGGAAATATACAACTGATTTGCCCAAGACTCTGTAATGATAACAAATTATTTACTATCACACACTGAGAATGTCCGAAACGCAACTGTCAGGCCCGAGGAACAAAGCAACGCCACAACAGCAAGTCTGAAGTACTAGTAGTTCTATTTATTGGTAGTGTACCCTAAAAAGCAGGCATTCCAAATTGGCCTTAAGTGTGGGAAGGATAGCGGACAGTTGACTAAAGCACAGAGACAGACAGAGTATTGAGAAATACTAAACTTCTATTTAATTACCCAGACGCCTATACCAGAAAGCAAGCATGAGATGTCTTGTTCTACAACTACATCCTGTCTCAATACCAGTTGCGTATCCTGTAATCCGTTGGTACCGAGCAAAAGGAAGATCGTCAGTCCGACTTACAGTGGGCATGTTTCAAGCAGAAACTGATACAATATATTGACCTCTCCAACGCTCGCTAGGCAGTTTAGCATACGATGCAAGTTTTGTTTCCGAAGCATATGAACGGTATAGTGGAGTCTTAGTACTCTAAAGGCGCCGAGCTCAGACACAAATAGGGGAGATTAAGCGATTCGAGATTGTGATGATAACAAGCCTGCAACAAGTGGGATTTAAAATGCTGAAACTATGTTCGAAAGTGTGCAGGAAAAAATTGGGTTCTAGTGAAAAACAACACAATGGTTCGACTTCGGAGCCGTCTTACAATGAGAATGAGCCTAGGGGACATAGAGACCGATATAGCTCACCTGAATTTCCCTGGGCAAAACTGAATAGGCAGCCGGCGGCGTGCAAGTTGGCCAAATGACATCCAAAATCGTTATGTGACCCGCGATCTTGTAGAAGAGACAACGACTTCTGGACATATGGAAGGTAGAGGGTAATTTGGTGACCTTCTTCGGGGGGTGGGTCCAACTTACGATTCACAATGGAGAGGACATACTGCAATAGCTGAGAAAGGTTTCTCCGGGGAGAATGCTCTGAATAGTGTGTTGCATCGGAACACTTCGACAAAAACCGAAACAAAGCAAGATAGCAGGCTCTGGAGTCGTCGGGGGATATTTCAGGTTCAATTTTACGGCTTTCAAGCGGGATCAAAGAACCTGCCAACCCCATCGTGAGGTAAAATTTAAGGATCGAATTGACTAGCTCCGAATGGGGATCACTGGAAGTTTGATCGAATGCACAATTCAACACGGCCAGTAGTTGCGACGCGATCAAACGACGGAGGACGTGCGGTTTGGGCAACCTGATAGTTCTTTCATCGGTTTCAGGGGTCAATGAGATTGGTCGGTGAAACGCATTCATTAATTTTCTGGCGTAGGAAGTCAGTGCAGGTGCGCTCAACCCCCGGGAAGCGCGCTCGAGTAGAAACTGCAAAAATTGGAAGTGTAAAACGGTTGAATGGACTGAAGTGGGAAATTGCACCTTTTAGAGACATTGAAAGCAAATAAGTGGGTTACCATGAAGATTGCCGTGTGTAATTGAGAATGCAAACGGAAGTACTCAGATACGAAATCGAGCAAGTGCAAACTCAGTCCAGAGTTTAAATCAAAGAAACAAGAAGCAACAGAGCAGTGATAAGCGCTCCGACCATCACGCGACAAGTGTGTACCAGACAGCAAGGGAACCTGTGACCAAACACGACAGATCGCTGGGGGGGGAGGAGGGGGGCATTTGATTAAAATGACCAGATCATAGAACTATACCACAGTGTACGAGAATGGAAGACAGCACGCCAACAAATATGTACATAGGACAACTATGCATGAGAAAGTTCGAATCACTCTTATCATATTGACGGGGTGGTGAACTGAGGGCGAAAAGCTACTGAGGTCCAAAATTCCCGTGGGACGGGCTAAAAACTTTCCAGCGAGTGATGTAAGTCGGGTGTAAACCACAAGGAAATCGGGAGTGCAAAGGCACAGCAGTAATCAACAAGAACAGTGTACTGATCCCAAATGCTCTCCAATTACTTCAACGTATGCATATACAAGGTTGATACTGGTATTGATGTAACAATATACTAACAAAATTCGGTTTGGTCCTGCGGTGTTACTCGACTACGGAAGCCATCTGTGGTCAAGATATAAGTTGGATTCTGTCAACGATAATGGAAAGCTATACATTTTTTTTGGGGGGGGGGAGTTGCGGTCTCGTAAACTGTCACAGATGAAATCAATATCGCCGAAGTACTCTAAGTTGAGAAATCGACAACTAGGAAGCAAGTTTAATGGACACATCGTCGATAGCCTTGTCAACAGCGATTTAGTAGGTGGCAGCGGGCACCCTTGTCTCAAACCACTGGCGATATTTAAAGGCGGGGACATTATTCCAGAACTGTGTGCACATGTTGCCTTTATAATATTTGCGTATTGTTACGACACAGGTTTTCTAATCAGATAGCCACAGAGCCTATTGAATCATGACAGCTAGGCGAGAAAGGTGATTGCCAACGCGCGCGTGTTTGCCACAAATCGTGCTTGGGAAAGATCCTGCGAGCATGTTGCCAAGGCCGGACCGGAAGCTGATGAAATCGCGCGTCAGACATCATGTGCGTTGCCATACACCGGGTAGGCGGACGAAGACTGGCGTGCCCGAGCAAGACAGTGAACTGGCCAGACGGTGCGGACAAGCAAGTGTAAAGCGTGGGCTTACAGCCAAATCCGCCAGACGATGTTTAGAGGATTGCTGAGACCGATATATAAACATGAGCGTTCTCGGTCCTAATACAACTCTGGTCTGCTGAATTTTCTTCTGTCTTCCTTCCTGTCGTGTTTGTCAAGGCGTCAAACAGAGCAGGCGTAAGGGCGCAGATTTACCAGCAGGCGTGAGTCAACCGGTCGATTACAGGTACAGTGTTATAAAAAATCACCAAAATCAAGGCACATTTGATGTCGAGGAACGCAACAGGTGGGTCGTCAACATAAGTCGTTGTGCTTCAACTCGAAAACCTTTGGCGAGTCTAATTTTCAAGTGCGCAGTCAATCTATACAGAACGACAGAGGCAATCAATTTAGGGGCGATGGAGATAAGACTGAACCATCTGAGACAGCCAGGTTCTGAACGTGCTCCGCGTTTGAAAATCAGGATCTTGCAGCAGGAAAATTCCAATCGGTTGGTACAACTTCCCGTTCAAGAGTCCTGCAAATAAATCGCGCAATCACCAGAAATGCTCCGAAGGCAGCGCTGATCAAAAACAGACTGTCTCTCAACATCCTTTGCGCGAACAGGCCAAGTCCCGTAGCCACAGAGGAGAATTGCTTTCACTGTGACATTGTAAACTCGGCTCTCCAGAGCTAGACTCCGATCACCTCGACGCCAGAGATAGCGGAGATTGGCAAAAGCAACCCGAGCTTTGGAGACGCGCAAAGCGACCACATTTGTTAAGCCATTAGCGCTGAGGCAGCTTCCGAGGTAAATGAACTTGTCTACCACTTCCAATGATTGACCTAGAAGGGTAAGGTCAGGAGCAGCGCCTGGTCAGACCTGCAGGAAAATCTTGCATTTCGATGGTGCGAAGGTCATTCCAAACTGGTAGGCAGATGTCTCCAACCTACACAGAACATTTTGGGTGGCATGTGAGGAAGCGCAGATTACGGCGATGTCGTCTGCTTAATCTAAATCCCGAAGTCGGTCTCCCGGAAGCAGCTCGACGCCGCTGGGTTCGCAGTTCTTCAGAATACTCTCCAAGATTTCGTCTATAGCGAAATTGAACAAGAAGGAGGATGCTGGGCAACCCTGTCTCACGCCACTGGTGATATTAAAGGGGAGGGCGAAAGTCCGCCGTACACCCGCACTCGGCCCGAGGTTTGAGAGTCGATGGCTTGAAGTAAGGTGACATACTTCTCGGGCACTCCCCTTTTCAGTAGACAACTCCAGAGAGCAACTCTGTCGACTTAGTCAAACGCGGCTCGTATGTCTAAGAAGACAGCGATCGTTGGCTGGTCAAATGTTTGACGACGCTCGAGTATTTGGGGGAGTGTAAAGATGTGATTGATGCAACTCCGGCATGAGCGGAACCCAGCTTGCTCTTCACGTATGCTCTATCCGCGTACCAGGCTGAGCCTCCTTAGAAGCAGAGCTGCGAGCACTTTGGAAGCAACACAGATGAGACTAATCCCTCTGTGGTTGGCGCAGTCAGTTCGGGTATCTTTTTTGAAGACGGGCACGATATCCGCTAGGCTCCAATCAGATGGGATAACTTTAGTGACCCAGATCTCTTGGAGGAAAGAAGTTAACTCATGATAAGTGATGGGCCGCCATCTTTGAAAAGAGCCGGAGGGAGTTTATCTGGGCCAGGGGCTCTGTAGCGCTTTAAGAGGCGAAGCTCGTGGGAAATCCCAGCCTCGGATGGTGGTGAAGCGTTTACACACCAGGGAGCGCGCTGGGCTCCAGAATGGGAACTCATTGTTGCTGCTGGCCAATTAAACTGCTGCTCAAAGTGTTCGGCCCAACGCTCGAGTCGGCGTTTTTGACAGTGGATTGGCTCGTCATTGGTTTCGCATAAAACTTCGCTTACAGTCGGCCTTTTGCTACCAGTAGATCGGATCAGACGGAAAAGATTACATAAAAATTCCATGAGGTGGCCGCTTGCTCCATCTCAATGACCCGCTGCGTCCACCAGGCCTCGCGATCTTCCAGAAGAAGCTGTTTGAGCTCAGCGTTAGTAGTCTTGCGTAGTGAATGGTATTTAACGCTAGCAGGAATTGCTCGACGGGCTTCGAGAAGTTGGAGGGATCGCGCAGAGATCCAGTGGTTGACAGGACTACTGGTGAAGCCACAGACCAGGGTTGCAGGGTTGTACATGGCGCCGCGGATGCGTCCAGTGTGATTCAATGTCTGTGCATGAGGAAATCTTCAGCCGTGAGACTAAAGCATCTTGAAATGCGCAGAGAACGTTTGGGGCAGAAAGCTTAGCTACGTCAAGCCGTTACTGGCGAGGCTTCTGAAAGCCACCAAAACGTAGCGCAACCTTAGCACACACCAGCGCGTGATCCGAAGTAAGATAGGTACTCCAGATTGATTTGCAATCCCGTATGCTACCCTGCCAGCGATAGGTAATGTCGATGTGGTCAATTTGTGTCCACGGCTGGCGAGGTGATGGGGGTCTCCAGGTGGCGCGTTGGCGCCAGAATCCTCGAAAGCTAGTGATCGTCAAAAACATGCCTTGGTCGGCGCAAGGATGAAGTAGTTGATCACTGTTGTTAGTTCTGCGGGTGCCATGACCGTGTTGACCATCGAGTTCACGTTAATCAACTTCAAGTCTACAGACCTGGAAGTTTAAGTCCCCGGCGAGCACCACGATGTCGGTACGGCACTTTTTACGGAGAAGATCGGCCAGTTGACCATTGAACTCATCTTTAACTGACTCCGGGCTACGATCTGTGGAAGCGTATGCTGCGACAATGAATAGACAGCGTCTGCTGGTTTCGCGCCTGGACAGTCGCACTGAAGTTTCAAGTCGGATGGCGCATAGTCGACTGTTAAGAGAGATCCAGTCTAGTAGCGCGGCCTCAGCACGTGCGCTCAATGCCAGTATAATCGGCGGCTTGAAGCAGTTGAGTCTCCATATAGACGCAAAGTGGAACTTGCAGAAGGTGAAACTAGTCGCAGCGTCGTGTTAGAGTCCTGTAAACGTGTCTCGCTGAGACAACAGACATCAATGGCCGTAGTTTCTAGAGTGCGAGCAAGGGCTGCCTGTGATCCAATCAGCATCAGTGTCCGAACATTGAAGGTTGCCAGCTTGAATTGGGAATGGGGCGCTAGAAATGGCTTGTCAACATGACTTGGCGTATCTTCGGACCTAGACTCCTGATCCGTATGGCGAGAACGTTCGCCCAAGATGGTACGATGTTGTGAACTCGAAAACGGAGGGGAAAGACCAAGAATGGGGGGTTGAACGAATGTGGAATAAAGTAACTAAACGGTGGTGCGATACAAGGTGGTTTGGCAGATTCAGCCGCCAGCACCTCGGCCGATGAGAGTAGTACGAGGGAGTGAGAGCAGATAGAGCGAGAGCGGAGAGTGCGAGTGAATAATTGCTGAGAAATGGATCCATAGGTTGTGTGGGCATAGTACTTCCCGGTTTCCCAGGACGAGGAAGAGGGTTGACTTAGGGGAACCACACGGAGCCTTGGGTCATAAAGACCTGACCCACAAGGCAGCGGGGCGATTGACGTATACCGCGACCGTTGACAGCCGGCTCTCTAGGTGAACGGCTTTCGAGTAGAGGCAAACTACTCAGGGCGCCCAGAGCCCCAGTGAAGCAGCAAGGACTACCGAGCTCGAAGCGAAGCACGAAGACCGTTGACAGCTGGGTGGTTCATACGTTTGCATAGAAGCCGGTAGCCATCGAGGTTGTTCATCCGCCCTCTGTTAAGTACTCACTTCTGTGACCAGAAGTGAGTGGTCAATGACCCTACAGTCGGTCACATTGGCTTTGACCCAGCGTCTTGCGAGTTCCTGTGGTATTTAATGAGGAACCAGGTGACCAGCCCAGAACCCCCCACGCTCTAGGACGCTGCTGCTGATTGTCCGCGACTGCTTATTCATCTCGCCTGCGAACAGCCGAGATTTATTCACAGTTACCTTCACAAGGAAGGTGTTCCCCGGTGGCGTACAGCTCTGCCGAACCAACCAGTAGTCAGTTCACTTCCGGTAAACATGGAGTAATCTCTGAAACTGTGTATGGACTTATTGCTCAGGCTGGAAACTGCATTAGCCTGAAGGACACGCGACTAGTGACTTCCAACCCCGTTCATTGAGCGATCACTCAGTCCGGAGGGCAAGATACGTTGATACACATTCAGAGCTCCTAGCTACAACAGGTCATAAGTATCCACGAGCTTACGGCATCACAACGGACGTCCGCTGAAAAGTATCCGTAGATCAGCACACACAAATACATGATCGGAGTATACGCTCGTGCTCTAAATCGAACGGCAGTTCTGGACGCAGATTCGCCAGTGGCAATTGATCACGATGTGATCAATTTGAGTCTATAACTCGTCCGAGGCTGGTAGGCACCATGTTACATTTCTGCGGATGCTGTGTCGGAAGTTATTCCCAGCGAGAAATAGACGAGCATATTCACACATGTGTAACAACCGCTCACCATTATCATTACGGGAGCCTACACCGTGTTGCCTGTCCAAATACAGCTCATCATTGGACAACTGGAGCGTTCAGATTGCTAGCCAAATACAGCAGTACTTGTACCATATTTGTGACGAAAGAAAATTGTTTAGTTGATGATATAAGTCATCCTTCACCGAATCAGCGCTGCAGTTTGTAAAGGCGTGGGCAAAAACAATAGACAGGTACCACAGTATCCGTAGAAACCAAATCGTCAGATACGGACTACAGGTTTGCAGGGTGTCATACGTAAATTGGACGAGCAAATATGGAAACGGCAAAAGCTAGTGAATTCAACGAGAGAGCGAGTGAGGAATTCTTACCGGATGAACAAATCAAATAGACAGGATGGTCAGATCTCCGTAGCTAGAAGAGACTTAATTAATCAACCTGGTAAGAAGAGCTACGGGATAAAGAAACAGCAGTTAGATTGCGCGTAACGTGAATAATCATGAATGACATCGAGAGATAGCTTTTCATCTCGAAGTAGTGGGTTGGTAAGTGAATGCAAAATCCCCGGTGTTATGAGGAATAAGGAGTCCAGTTCTGCTGACTGGTAATCACTGTCCGACCTGATACACATGAAAAGGGATGCGACCGAAAGAGTATTACTCCACACAGCGTAAAACGTAGCACATAGACCACTACGCCTGAGTAGAATGCGTACTCGCTGTGACTTTCAAACCAAGATGTACGCACCGATGTTATAAAAAGCGGTGTATGCAAACGGAGCATGAAACATGGTAATAGGGGCATATCGGATGCTGTCCAGGTCATCTACTAGCTCACCCTGCAAGGTTTCAGTGCTCCGGAAGCACATAACAAATCACAGAGCGGGTAACCGGCAGTGAAACAAGAAAATACAGTTTCAGGTGAGGCTGGAGTGATGGTTCTTCGTTTCTCTTCCCCGGAACTCTTATTCCTGATTTGTAAATTCCAGCTTTGGACAACATCCTTTAGACACTGTTTCATCGCCGAGTCAGCATCAGAGAAGCAGGCCAGATGTGGACTGGACAGTTGGAACATGATGAAACGAACCACTGTCTCGGACAAAACAAAGCGTGTGAGATCATCTCCGTGAGAAGAAATCATGTGAGACGTCAGTTGAAGAAGGAGGCGATAGGATTTCTGTTTTGTTTTCGATGTGTTTAACTTCCCTGTAGTATAAAAACAGAGTGGTGTAAGGGTACTGGGGCTGAGGAGACGGAAATTGTAGTGGAAAATAAGCAAATAACCACCCGTCCGCTAAGTAGAAAAATGAATGTATATGCTCAACGGACAAACAGGATAAAGCTTGGAGTAAAGTATTTACAGGAGCAAGAGAAAGAATGAGTTAATTAACTAAACGGAAGTGGAATAGTAGAGATGACACCGCATGGTCCGCATGATCCCAACGTCTATATGCAGTGGAGTGAGTACTCGTATCCCATACGTCCGGAAAACTGAAAGAAATATAAAGCCGGAACAAAATACCGAGAAAAAAATCGCAGGAAAAAGACTTGAATACAAGGCTTAAGACATTGCACAACTGATTAACGGTAGCTGCTAGAGCCAATATACATCGTTGATCTATGGCAAAAACAGCAAGCCGGTTTGGAGTTTGATGTCTGACGCCAGACCCTAAGGTACCACAATAGACAGTGCTTTGAACGTAATCCAGCGACAACAGCGGGGTTCCACCATGCGCAATCCGACCGATGACCCACCCTGGTGAGTTGTACGACGAAGATGAGCTTTGCTACATAAGAGTCAACAAAAAAGTGGCAAAATAGGCCGAGTCGCGTCAACGCATGTGGTCATCCCTAGAACAGATCGATGGAACAAGTAGTCAGATCAGGGATCGCACAATTAGGAAGGTAATGGTGCATTTGTGACAATTCCCTTGTTTGCAATGCGAATGTGTAGGTGTTTGACCTGAATGGGAGTATTTTTATCCGCCCCCATTTGTTTACCAGCAATGATCTCTGATATGTAGGCCGAGGTACCCAGGTTCACCGAACTTCCCTGTTCAAGTATAAGTAAACTCAGGGTAATTTGACAACAAAAGATACATCCCCGAAAGCACCTCAAGTAAGCAATGGAATCAAGCGACCGGTCGTCAGGTGGGAAAAGCCTGTTGGATCGCCTAATTCTCCAACAACACCATACCTAAGTAAGAAGGATGGGGCATACAAAAATAAAAACCGCACCGCCTCAAATCAGTTAATGTAGTTTACACAAGCATCCACCAACGCAGTCTAGGAAAATATGAAGAAAGTGGCGTAAAATAGTGTACGGTTGTTTCACCCATAGCTGAAAGGAAGACAAGCATAACGGTATGGAGGTAATTCTTTAGACATAATCAATTAAAGAGAAAGCCACCAGTTAACTATCGTTATTAAGAAAACGATCACTTCCAAGCTAGGAAGATTGGCTATATATATATATATATATATATATATATATATATATATGATACCACGACGTTAGGCTCTGTCCACCTCCCCAGTGAATCATTTCCCCAGGTTTGGCGCCATTATCAGGTGGATATACTACCCACCTCGCCATTGTGGTCCGACATTAATCCTAGGCCCATCGGATGTTTATCTATCATGGTCTGTACTATTGCGCTCGGCCATACATATATCCTGGAGCATTCAGCAATCTTTTTGATCCATAGTTTCTATCTTCCACTGGTTTGTACACTTGGGTTCTTATCCCTCGCACCTCCGGAACATAACCACTTTCCTTGTAACAGGAGAATCTTTACTTGGTGCAAAGTACCATGGCTATCTTATCCACCTTGCCAGTGAGGCCGCCAAATCTCGCCGGCCTTTCAGCTGAATATCGAAGCTCTCGACTATTCCGTAGACCAGAGCAAGCCCTTTGAGCGGTGTTCTCTATGGGCTTGAACAATTAGAATCATATCCTTGAGACGTTTGAAACAACCAACAGAGATTTATTTCTATGCAAGCGTTCCACCTACCTGCTGTGGCTATTCCTTTTCGACTTGACTGCGAAACACACCTGGCCCGTAGTTTATCTGCTCGGACAATTATAGGGCGTATGAAATATCCGAACTTCGATACTCAGAGGTCCTTGCTCAACTGCTACCGCTTGTTCCAACCATCACTAGTGAATCCTGACTAAGCATTTTGCGCAGCCGCTGTAAAAGTGGGTGCCCTTCGACGGAGGTAATCCCCGCGGCAACACGGCCGTAAAGTTGCATTGCCAGTGGCTCCCTGATATTCAACTTGTGGTAAACATCAGTGTCCCAAGACGTGGTAGGCTTTTGCCTGGCAAGCATTTTTCAAAGAAAAAGCCGCAAACGTCCGCTTAAGGACACTGCGACGTGGCGGAGGTTATTCGTTACAAAAATGAAATCAATGCCTACTGCCACTGGCAACGATCCTGTTAACCGAACGTTATGTGCACAACGGCATACGTACAAATCCACACTCTGGTCTAACAGTGTTTATGAAACATTTTGCTGGGTTCCAACGCACAAGGACTATGGGAAACCAACTTCCGAAAGTATGCAAAGCCCCCGTCTAGTTTTTACATAATGAAAACACGTAGATTAATCGTGCCTCGGCGTTACTTTTCTATCTGACACCAATGAACATAGCCCTCACCCAAGCAACTGTCCTTCATAACAATACGCCTCACTTTTCGAACCACATCTTTTGCGAAAACGTACTTCCTTCGTTTGGTGTACACGCGCTTATTTTGTTTCCGTGGCTCTGACAATCACTTAAGCACACCTGTACTGGGGTGTATCGCTCATTCGAGCATAAACTATATATTTACTAAACGTAATTTACCCACCTGATCATACCTTCAAAGGTCTGAATTGCCCCGTAGAGAATAAACCAAGTACGCTTTATTATTTACTACAGATTTAGTTCAACACATTCTATCTGTTCATGTTAATTCATCCGTAGAACTGGCTACGAAAATACACACGGATATAAACTATTCATTACACAGCCTTTTGTCCAACTGAACATTTAGTTTAGCAATGTGACGAAACTACAGAGCAACCTGTGCCTGCGCATGGGCGTACGACTCGTCTGCCTTACCTTTTCTAGCTACATTTCTGCTTGATCCGAATATTACCCTTCAAGAACTACCCAGCAAATTATGTTAGGGATCCCGCATCACACATGGAACACTGTTTAAGCCGCCAGTGTTTACCGTTTTTGCATGTATTAAATGGCATTTCTTTACATTTTAGATCGCCAATGTGTTACAGCTGAGAAATCGCACCTCAATCGTTCGTAAAAGCGCATTAGTGAACTGACTTGAATAAGTGAGTTAATTTTAGGCTGACAGCTGTAAATACACATAGAGGTAGGTTTAGTCCGCAGGGTTCTTAGCAAAATGGTTTTATTCTTTTCTCTGATTGCTTCCTTTGAAGCTGTCTATGCTTTCAGTAACAAGAGCCCCACAATTTTGACATCTAAATCGTAAGAAGGGGCCGGTTGAACGGTTCTATTAGTTAAATCTAGTGTTGTGGGTATAAACAAAATTCGTAGCGGCACCGGTCGAACTATTTTGATAGCAGTGTGGGATAGTATGATGAGCTAAATGGAGGTAAATAAATGGTTAAAATTAAACAGTATATATTCGCTTGGCGGGAGAGCCTATGGTGCTTTGAGGCTAGTGGTGGCTAGATCCTGACAGATGGTCCATGTCTAGTTACTAGAATGTCGAGATTACATACACACATACATACTGCTGCGCCATTAACTCGTGTCCTGGACGCCTCCTCTTGGCGACCGGTGGGTGTAAGTTGGGTTTCGCCCTTCTCCTTGCTAAGATCCAGGACACTAAGCCGCATGCGTCAGTGAACTGACCATGTGCTAGACCCGCTGCCTTTCGGGGGTACATTTAATCGAAGTGTTTGGCTGAGGACTCGAGTCGATCTCCTGTCAGGTATGGGCGCCCTGGCAGTATCCTAGTCTATTCTCTTCGGAGGTTAGGAAATGGTCGATGGCCTTCTCGTAAAACCTAGCCATGGCAGACAACAAGTCTGCGGGTTATAAGCTCACAGTTCGATTGGCGTACAGCACGAGCGCCACGCATTGTCTCTGTCGGTGGGAAGGCACCTCCGGGTGTTCAATGGTTTGCTACTGCCCGCCTCAAGCCATGCATCCCCTGGTCAAATTGGTGCAAACCCGCCAAAACCCACCTGCGTCTGGCCGTTGTCGCAGGTGAATCCCACTACGGTAGCAAAGCATATATGAATCGTTCCAGTACTTCAAAGGCTGCGTGTGACGGCCGTCAAGCAGATCCCACTCTATCTCTGCAATCACATTCACGAACTGGATCTGCTCTCCACTGCCTTTTGGGACAGGCTATTGCGCCAAAGGCTCGGGGTTGAGACCCTCAAGCAAACCTCCGAAGCATATCCGCTATCTCGCCTGCCATTACCCACCAATGCAATTGTATGCCTGCGCGCAAAGCTCTCAGCATCGGGTGCTGGAACGTGCACACACTACTGGACCGGAAATCGAGTGGGCGCCCCGAGCGATGCACTGCATCCGTCGCAATGGATTTGGCGCGCAACCACATCGATATTGCGGCGCGCATTGAACCCCGGCTCGCTGACCAAGGTAAGTTGTATGAAGCAGGTGCTGGCTACACATACAACTGGATGGGCAACGCCGCCTCAGCACCACGTGAACATGGGGGCGGATTTGCAATAACCCATCGCCTCCATGGCCAGCTAGTGAGGGAACCAACAGGCAGAAGCGCGCGACTGATCACTGTTCGCCTGCGACTCGGAAGAGGTAAGTTTGCTATCTTTATAAGCAAGTACGGTCGGACAATGTGTTATCCTGATGAGACGCGTGCTCAATTCTACATTCAGCTATTCTCTGTGATACGGTCTGTGCCGAGGAGCGACCGACTATTTCTGATGGTTGACTTCAACGCTCGCGTTGGGCGTGATGCATCGGTGTGGACAGATGTTATCGGTCCGCGTGGCATCGGTTCAGCGAATGAAACGGTGACAGGCTGCTCTCACTGTGTGCTACTCACAGCCTGACGATCACGAACACTCGGTTTGCACTGAGTGCGCGTGATATAGCAAGTTGGACGCACCCACGGAGTGGTCACGTTCACCTGCTCGACTATGTCATCGTGCGTCAGCGTGATATGCGTGAAGTGCGCA